ATGAGTGTGGGCCTGTCGCTTTTTCTCAGCCAGCCTGAACACCTCCTCTGTCAGCCAGGGTCTGACATGAGCCACAGTCCTAAACCTCGCCCATTTCCCCTCGACATCAGGAAGAATGGGGGACGATGCCAACCCCAGCCGTAAGGCATAATGAAATTCTCGTTTGCAGCTTTCATCAGCTTGCTGAGGACCAGGCTACTATGGGTTAAATGGGGTCCTGGGTGTACACCCACCACTGGAGTGGAAGAATGGCAGGCGTATCTTACAGATGACAAGTCGATGGTGAGTGGGCGGATCAGCTCCACGATAGGTCCTGGTGTCAAGGACATGGGGCCCACATCCGCTGGTCCGTCACTATGTAGTCCAGCAGATGACCTTGCTTGGATCCGGCATGCATCCATGATGTTGTGTGGATGCGCTGATGCCGGAACGGCGTGTTGGTCATACCAAGCCCATGGGCTGCACAAAAGTCTAGCAGCCTCCTACCATTGTTATTGAGCTGATCTGGCCCATGCCTTCCAATCACTCCAGACCAGGTGCCAGCATCATGACCATCTCGGGCATTAAAGTCACCCAATAAGATGACTCTATCCCGAGGGGCCACTTTAGCTAGCACCTGTGACAGGTCATAGAAGGCATCTGACTCATCGGCCTTGCCTGCATTCCTCCACGGATGTTCGTCTTTGGTGGGGGCATAAGTAACCACGACTACCACTCCTCGCCTCTGGATGATGGGAAGGCGAACCCAAAGTAGCCTGGGGTTTACAGCGTCCTACGCTCCCTTCATTCTTTTGTTCAGAAGAAGAGCCACTTCATGTTGTTTGGCAGTCTCCTGCCTCGAGTAGAGGACTGTACAACCCTCATGGTGGCAGGAGCCAGATTCGGTCCACCGGACCTCCTGAATACCACAGAGATCCAGGCGGTACCAGTCCAGCTCCTGACAGAGGAGTGGCAGCCTCTCCTCCGCAGTGAGTATTGGAACATTCCACGTGGCCACCCGCAGTGGTTTTTTTGCTGTTTCTGGAGGAGCCCCGAGGGTAAGAATTCAATCTCCTGGCTCCGCCAAATGGGGTTTGGCCAGGAGACGTCATAGATGTCTGTACCCCTGGGGCCTCCGGCACAAGCTTAATACGAGTTTTATTTCGTGGTTTCGTGGTAATTAATTGAAGGTGGAGGGGCTACCAGCCACTCACACCCATCCAGAGCCCCCTTTGGCCTCTGTGGTGGTTACAAACGCCATGAGGGGAATGGCCAATCTAAATTTGCCCTCCCACCATGGCATTGCCCACCACAGCGTTACCGTCTGGCACCAACGAGGAGGTAGGGGGTTGTTTTGCCGGACACACGTGCCGAGGCCACACACACAAACACGTGGGACGGACACCACCACGATTGACTGTACCGTGTTTTTCGATTATAATAAGACCCCCCCCCCCCCACCACCCCTTCAGTTATTAAAATACGAGTTGGGGGTGCGTATTATAGAATAATGTACAGCCATCTGGTATGTATCTGTGTGTTCCTAATGCCCATAATACAGGGGTTTTCTTGGGGTTATATCGCGTAAATATATAATTGTGTCGTTAAACCCGCCACCACCCGACACAGCCAACTAGTAAGGGTTGTCACGTAAACAGAACGTGCCAATTCGTCACTAGTACAGTACACCGGTGTGTTGGAGAGCAAAGCAACAACATTTACAATCGGAGTACAACGTTTTGCCCGTAATTACAACACGCTTCATAATGTATGTGTGTGCTTGTTTATAGTGCGAGTGTGAGACCAGATTTTGCGTAACTATTGACATACAATTCATAGGAGGTATGCGTTTGGGGTGTGTCTTACTTCCCGAGTTGTCGGCCCCTCTGAGTTACAGCAAAGACTCGCGGAGTACCGCAAAACTACCAACGCAAATTCACCGACCCTACATTACCGTCAAATACAGAGACGTTACCGCAAAGTACTAACATTAACTGCAAAGTGTCGCAGATTGATAGGTAATTAGGGCCAGGGAGGAGCGCCTTATAATCCGGAGAATTAAGGTATACAGATAGTCCCCGATTTACGATAGTCCGACTTACGATATTTCGATCTTTGATGGCGATAGCGATACGACGGACAGAATCTTGGTGAGTACAGTACAATATGACATGTTACGATACGTTCAATGCGTGTATGATACGTAGCTTTAGCGATTTCATTTTAGGGTTACCACGATACGATACATTCAATGCATGTTATTTTTATAGCAGAGAGGATTGTTTCCTGAAAAAAACTTTCTATTAAATTGCAGTTCATATAGGTACGCTAAGAATTTACCTTGTTTTTTTTACGTACATTTTACTTGCCATACAGTATTGTAATTAATAAGTACATACAGTATATAGTTTATACAGTACGGTACTGTAAATTGCTCTGTTTTACTAAATTATCACCATTCTTTAAGACTCCTGGGTAGGCTAGGCCATCTTCGACGATATTTTTGACTTACGATGGGGTCGTCGTAACGCATCTCCATCGTAGTAGAGGGCTACCTGTATACACACACACATGCATACCTGTCAGCCCCTAATCAGTGCCCTACAGACCAATTCAGACCTCGTTGGTCACCCCATACCCTTATAAATCTCAACGTTCATCCTACAAAGTTCCATCACAAGGAGAGGAGAGAAACACAAACAAATAGACAAAAGCACGTATTTTCTTGTGCCCGTATTGAAACGGCTGTACGCAGTATGGACCTGAAAACTGTACAAGAATACGGGGTAAACCGTGTGGGTTCAAACGGTATGCGCACGTGGATGGCCACCAGCCCTGCAGTGCCAGGCACCGCTTGCGCTGACAGTCGCCCACTGTTCATGTCAGGAGGTGTGTGACAGCAGCTGTCGGTGGCGGCGTGACTGTCGCCTGTGCTTGTGGCGATTGCTCTGAAATAGCGGCGCTTGCAGCCACCACTCGGTAGCAACCAGCCCTGATAAATATCCCTAAATGCTAGCGCACGAGAGCTTTCCCCAACCCAAGCCATAATTACACTGTTCTTAATTTTATTCTAAGCCCTATTCATGACTCAAGCCCTGGCTCTAATCATTAATTGCCTTTTGTCACAAATGGGAGGCAGATGATGTCCTTCCATCTGAGTCGCAAATTGACGCTAAACTCTCGGTTTTTTTTACAATCACTTCACTTGTAATTGCATTTGAAATGTATCGTCGCCTCTTTCAATGCAGGCAAAATGGTCACCCCTATATCTGTTTGATGCTTTTGTAACTTAATTCGTTATTGTTTTATCATCACCCTGGGAATAATCTTCCTGAGCCGCCTTGCACTGCAGGACGTTTATTATTTGGCATTCATTGTGTTTGTGTGTGTGTGCAGTGTTTTGGATTTCTCGTGTGACACGGTTGTTTTTGTTCCAATTACTTTTTACTTCGTTGCTGCATGTTATTTTATTTGTGTCTGCTCCTGTCATTGTGGCCCAGATCGTGCTGGCAAATGAGATTATATTTTGTTCTATTGCACTCTCACCTAGTACCCCAAGCTTATCTCTACAGCAACATCATAATGCCAACCTTAAATAAACCTTATCGATGTTTCTAACCCTATTCGTAACCTCTTAAGTCAATCCCTAGCTGTATTCATCTTCCTAATATTATCCATGATCCCGGTCCCTAAGGCTATTCTTATTTCCCATACGTGGTTTTGTCTGCTACCCATGAACATGCCCATGAGACACCCTGCTGATACCCATCACCGATTCTGATTGGTGGCTGCAGTTTTTTCTCGACCGTGCGTGCTGTCACGTAGAGGCGTTGGAGCAGAAGGTACTGCATTGGAGCGGGCAAAATAGTTAAACTCACAAACCCACTGGGCTGCGAGGTGGTGACTACAGCAAGTGGATTCATGAACTTGTCTGTGCGCACATTTTGAGTGTTGTTTTCTCCTATTCTGTTTTTTTTTCAGAATCAGTCTAATTGGTTTGTATACTATGCCCAAGCAAATTGCATGTATGTTGAACTTCTTTCGCACCGTATGTAGCCAACCGTGCTAATCGGAGGTGCGGGGGAAGGACAACAAACTAAAGACAAAAATCAGTTTTAAAGAAGTGAGGTTTCAATCTAGATGATTTAAAAGTGCATAGCTCCATTCACTTCCTAATATCGGAAGAAAGAGCATTCCAGGTGGGCGCAGATGCGCATCTGAATTCGCTCGGTGCAGTGACCGTCACTGCTGCTTCTTTTTGCACATCTTTTTCTTTCATATGGAAAGGTTACATTTTCAATATATGAAGCAATTGGCGGGACCCCGGGGTCCCATCATTGCCCCGGGGTGGGAAAAACCGCGTAATGACACGAGTCTTGCCTTACCGACAACAAAACTAGTGTCAATCGATTGGCCTCGTCGAGAGCTACTCGGGGACACTAAGTTTCGTAAAAAGTTGAAAAATTACATAAACACGTTAAATTCACTGCGGCGGTGGGCTCGCCTTGGCAAAGAAGCTGAGGATCAACGGCTGACCGGAGGGCGTCGTCGCCGCGCGCGACTGCGGCGGACGCCCCCCGGGGCTTGCGTTTGCCGGTGGGGGTGGCGCCCATCGTGTCGATCGCCGCCTGCTGCTGGCGCTTGTTGGCACGAGTCTGGGCGGGCGGCGCGTTGCTGTCGGGATCACGAGTGGGCGGACTGAAAAATAATAATTATTGACCTAAATCATTTGGCGGGACCCCGGGGTCCCGCCAAATGATTTATTTGTGTATATCGAGGTTAGATATATATGGGAGAAAGACAGCAATCTTAACACGGTGCTTGTGTTAATCGATCTCTTTCAATCTGAGCAATGATGCACAGTAAGCAGCATGAAGGATATCAGCTGACTACCGGACATCGACCCGGGATGAATAATAACATTATATCTGATTATGTTAATGATTGCCCACACCATTCAAGTGTCTGAAATGTACGTGCAAGAGCACCACCGTAACTGGGCCATCGGTGTTGCCCGGCAGGTGCGAGGTGCAGCAATGGGACAGCGATGACCAGATTCCGCAGGAGGAGCTCCTCCGTCGGGTGCCAGGAATCCACGGCCTCTACTGCCTGCTCACCGACCGCGTCGACGCCGCCGTGCTGGACGCCGCCGGTGAAACAGCACCGCCCCCCCCCCCCACGGAGATTGGGGCGCCACAGTGGCGAGATGTTAACTACCTCACCTGGTATACAGGAAGTCGTGGGTTCTATCCCGACCCTAACGCTTCTATATTTGGAGTTTGCATGTTCTCCCTGTGGTCACGTGGATTTTTCTCCGGGTCCTCCGTTTTTTTTCCTCCACATTTCGAATCAACGTCACGCCTTTAGAGTATTTGGCTGCTATAAATTTCCACGCAATAAGCCACTCCGTTGAGCTATCCTTTCTGACCAGGTCGCTTCTGAAAATTATATAGCTCAGTGGGCCTTACCTGGTAAGATAAAAATTGTTTTTGTTTATAGTTTTATTTCAAATCGAATTGCCATGTTTGTTTTTGAACTTCTTTCGCAACTTATGTAGCCAACCGTGCTAATCTTAGGTGCGGGGGGAAGGACAACAAACTCAGCACAAAAAACAGTTCTAAAGATATGAGTTTGCAATCTAGATTTAAAAGTACATTGATAAATGGCTAACCATCAAGCAAAGACGGTGATTACATCGTGCACTTTCAGATGCACTTTTGCTGCCGCCTGGAACACTTTTCCTTCCGATATTAGGAAGCCATTGAAGCTATTCACTTTAAAATCTAGATTGAAAATGTATTTCTTCAGAACTGCTTGTGTGTGTGTTTAGTTTGTTGTCCTTCCCCCGCACCTCCGATTGGTATGGTTGGCTACGTACGGTGCGAAAGAAGTTCAACATACATGCTTACGGTTGTGAGGATTGTTTTTCAACTCACCGGTGAGCTAAAACAGTTATAATTAGAGAATTAAAAGATTGTACATGTGTAGTGTTGTAAGGACGAGCAGACTTCTTAGGAGGCACACTCTGTTTATTGTATTATTTCCTTATACAATGCTTAACACACACAGAGGGATATTCGGTCCCCTCACCCGATACCCTAGGGAGGTACAGCCTCCGGACTTGGCGGGACTCACACGTCTACCGCTAACCTCCTTGATACCTAAGGAGGTACAACCTCCGGACTTGGCGGGACTCACACGTCTACCGCTATCCTAGTCCTCCGGCTAGGACCTAGGGGAGGCTATCTGACCCACCGCTGGCCCGGTGGGTCCTGACCACTGGGTATGCCGAGCCTTAGCCCTTAGAAGGGCTGAAAGGCTGGTCCAGGGTCCTAGCTAGGCTTCAGCCCAGTCTTCTGTCTTCGTGCAGGGAGCGAACTCCCCCAGGTCCGTTGGGTCACCCGTCTTATACCGCTTCGTGGCCAGGTAGAACCAATCATACATTCCCACGTGGAACCGTCTGATTGGTTCGCACCAAACCCTGGCCACGATCCGTTTCACCTCGTCTGACCCCAACCGTTGTACCCAGGGGTAATGCTGCACCGCCCTGGTGGCAACGCAGGTTACGCAACAGCGCATAGTTAACACCTCTACACATGTGAAAAATCATTGTGCTGTGTCAGGTGGTGGAGAGTTTCTAATGACACAGAAATCTGTTATGAATGAGTACATTTGGAATTCACACCATTTTTTTTTAGCAAGGCTATCCCAAAGGTGCTACATTTCACAGACGAGCATAGTCTGAGAGTAGTTTCACAGTTGGAGGTAATGTTGCTATGTGGCTTTGTACCCATTGATGTAATTTGCTAATAATTAGCAAACCTTGGCGGTGACACCGGCACACATGGCCGATAATGATGACAATATTCCTTGATGATATTTTAGTTGTGTTATCGGACTTAAGCGGCATCTCTACCAATCCAATAACTGGCAGTGGAGGGCTATCGTTTCCAATAAACGATATTGCAAAAAACACTTGTGGTGCCTACCCAGTGGATCTGTCGTGCTGAAACCAGATGGTGCTGCAGAGGGAGGTTCTGTAATGCAAACATAATTGAATGAAAGTCCTCACTTAGAGTTGGATAAATTATAATGTTCTTCTGCCAGGCACGGTGGCAGAAATATAAAATGCATTGCTTTGGAAGAGTGTTAGTGGATCAGGAGAGGTTGTGGTGGCTCGCCTTGACTACTGTACCACCATTGTCATGCGGGCATCAGCTAAAAACTTAAATTGACTGGAGACTACAAACCAATCCTGGGTATTGGCCAAGGTCACACAAAACCCATCTGCCACGCTCAAGTCCTTAAACTGGCTAACCCTATCATCGGTTTACGGATTGAGTTCAGGATCACCATCCTTTGTCATCGCACTCGAATCTTCAATCCACGACCATCACTTCTAAGGGACAGGTTGAAGGCCTCGAGTCTGTTAGGTGGGGCCTATGAGCAGGAACCCTGAGCCTGGCTACGCACCTCCGTGTCACGACTGCTAACTGTCTTGACGTGAAAATGTGCACGTTTGACTTGTTTTTTTAATGGTATTTGTATTATTACGTAAACTATGCTAGGCTTTGGTGTGGCCATTACATGCTGTGCAGTTCCCAAAAATTAGGTCGAACAATCAAAAATCATCCCAGTAATATGTAGGGATGTCATTTTGAAGGTAATGTTTTTTTTTCTAGTTTTCATAACACACCTAAACCACTGCACCACCTCAAAAGATTTTCACTGGCCTCGCATGTCTTTTAACCGAAAGGTACTGTACTGTACACGTAGAGCCCTGTGTGTCAATCCACTGCCGGATGGCAGCTTCCCCAATGTGGGTTGTGGGAGTTATTTTAACCATACTTCTCCATGCTGGTCACTTTAGGTTCGTGAAGCAGTCGGTCATAGTTACGGGAGCATGAAATCACAGGGCAACGTTGGATTATGCTTCACTGCCACCGGCTGCCAACCACTTAGCACAGCCTCACAGTCCTCTACAACGACCCGGCATGCATAGTGTCGCCCATGTAAGCAATGTGCAGGCTCAAACCTGCTTAGATTCCGAGGTCAGGTGCATCCTCGGTAAATTGGTCATTTATAATTTGTATAACGATGTTTTTTTTTTTATCCCATTAGTTTAAAAATTTGAATGAAAAGTGGAACACTGCGGGTTGCTGAGCGTGATTTTCCATTCATGCGAGCAGGTCCAAGCCTCAAGGTGATCAGCACCATGTCGGTGGGGTTCGATCACCTCTCTCTGGACGAGTGCAAGAAGAGGTAAGCTCGGTGACACCGCGCCTCCGTTAACAATCACCTGGCTGGAGAGGCGCCTGCTGAGTCAGAGCTGTGAGCGCCGAGTCGGCATTTCCCGAGATCGTTAATGATCTCGGCCTGGTCTCTAAAAGCTGTGAAATATAACGAGTTTTCGGTTCACTCTTCCAATTCTTTTTTTAAATCAAGGGCTGCGGTTAAAAAAAGAAATATCCTCCTTGTCCATAGAACTGGCTTGGTAGCGGCTTGCTAAATAACATAGAACTCCTCTGGGCTCTCAAAACCGAACATTGTGTTGTTGCTATCGTATGATTTGAGTCAAAGGATTTTCCCAAATATGTTTGAAAACTACCACTGAATTTATTCACAATTCTGAATCGTGTCCGTTACTACAGTGGACACTGAGCTCCCGCCGGGGCGCCGCCGCCTCGAATGCCAAGCTCTGCTTTACCCGGTGATTCTCGCCCTGGTGGTCCTATCGCTCGCCACTCGATCGCCACCCTGAATAGGTGACATTCTATGGGAGGGGAGAATTACGCTCGCCATAAGTTTGCAGGCATGAGCAACCGTGGCCGAAAAGCAAACAAATCGTAGCAGTGTCCCCACTACACCAGACACCACGATGCGCGTTAGAGGGTTAATTTAAGCGAAGGGCAACGGTGTAACGTTGACAGGTGGTGCTTTGTGTGTGCCCGACGCTGTTTCGCCACAGGGGCATCCGTGTCGGCTACACCCCCGACGTCCTGACGGACGCCACCGCCGAGCTCACCGTGGGGCTGCTGCTCGCCACGTCACGGAGGCTGGTGGAGGCTGCGGCCGAGGTCAAGAGGTGAGGCCCAGGGTGACTCTCCCACAACACGTGGGGGGGGGGACAATGAGGGCTTTTGCCAGGCACCAGAATCGTAAGCATTGATTTAAACTGATGACTCAATGCATCATTACCTGTGTACTGTCAAGGTGGCGTGGGGGGGTTCTTAATTAGGGTCTGCGGATCCCTTGGGTTAGGGTAGGTGGATACAAAATATCTCAGAGGGGTTCCCAATAGCAGCTGCACAAAATACTCGAGTCATAGAGTTATGGCTCGGGGGGGGGGGGGGCGGTTGCCGTGCTGAAAAGGGTGAACCGTTCTGTTCTCAGGGACTCGGCGATCTGTCTTGCAACCCGATACGTCGACTAAGACTTCACACGCGGGCGCCATCGTGCCCCCATCGTGTCTTTGCACAGGGGTATCTGGTGCATCGTGGCCGAGTGATGCTAATGGGTCTCTTGTCACGCCGTATCGCTGTTGCAACGTGGTTAACGCTCGGCAAAGAAAAATAATTCTGCCACCTGCTGCTGTTGCTGCTGAGAATGTGATCCGCCTGCATTGGTGAAATGGCCTGACCAGTCGCTCGACACTACCTGTGCACACCTGAAGCAACGGAAGACTAGGGTGCACAACTGCTGCATTTGCAGCCAAGTAGCATGTTTCCCTGATGCAAGAGCAGCTTCAGAATGGATGGTTGAGCTGCTGTAGGATCGCGGTGGACTTATTCATATGCAGTGAACAGAACTGGGTGGTGGTGGTGGTGGATATGCATGCCGGTAACTCAGCACTGTGGAGGCGAGGGTTGGTGAATTGCACAAATATTTCAAAAACTCCCTTCCCGGGGGAGTCGAGGTGCCTAATCCTGGCTCGCCAGGCGAAGGTGGTACAGCGCAGTGTGGGCTAATAGCGTCTGTCCCTCCTGTATAGCATAGAGTGTTGCCCCCTCACTGGCGTGGGTTTTCTCCGGGTGCACCAGTTTCGTCCCACCTATATATAAACACTCAATAATGGGCCGATAACGCCTTAATATAAAGAGAACTCTTCTCGGTTCTTTCGGTAAAGTCACGTAGAATGGAAATAAGATAATAAAATTTCGATTTAAAGCTTTCGTGACTGCAAGGATTCCTCTTCTTTGGTTCTTTCGGTAAAGTCACGTAGAATGAGAATAAAATAATAAATTGATAAAATAAAATAACACAATAATATTCTCACGACGTTTCGGCCACAACACAAGCGGCCTTCATCAGGTGAAGGGACGAGACTGTCTGGAGGACAGCGCTGGAGTGAAAAAGCCACGCTAAGATCGCGACCTTTAAGCTGTGTGAGAAGAAACAAAGCGCCTTGACAAAGGAATTAGCATAGAATTTAGCATTGAAATGGCTGAGTGATTAGCTTGTGACTGGTCACAGAAATGGCTATGTTAAATTAAAGCATACACATCCGCAGAGGCACCCCTTGACAAAGAAATTAGCATAGAATTTAGCATTGAAATAGCTGAGTGATTAGCTTGTAACTGGTCACAGAAATAGCTATGTTAAAGTCAGAGCATACATATTACAGAGGCACCTAGTACAAATCAAACCCGGAGAATTTAGCATTGAAATAACTAGGCGAATTTAGCATTGAAATAACTGAGTGATTAGCTTGTGACTGGTCACAGAAATGGCTATGTTGAAGTCAAGGCCTACACATCTGACCTATTCACAGTAACTGGGTATACACTACAATATATAATGAATACTATATAGTGAACCAATAAAAAACTAAAATATAAATTACCTCAATGTTATCAATAAACTCTATATATTCTCCAATCAGCTAAGCTACCAACAATAAGTCGTTATATATCACAATGCTATATGGCGAAAAAATGGGTGGATTCTTACCCTCAACTTTAGCAACAAGGATAGCTACGGGCCCCGTTCAGATGGACGAGTTCATCCATGGTCGGAATAGAGGAGGGGGAGAGAGACAGCTGCGAGGCGCTGTTATACTCCATGTTGTAAACCATACCATTAACCATGGTGTGAGAGGTATTAAGAGTCAATGCCAGCGAACGAGCTGCGGTCTGAAGGTCATCGTAAAATACAATTAATTAAGAATGGAAATGGTTTAAAACATCTTTCCAATGGTTACTAAGCCAGAATCCATTTTCTTGGTTGAAATTGTCTCTGTGCTTGTATATGTGAATGACCTCATGAATGAATCTCTCATGGTAGCCGGTTGGTTTGCAAAGAATCTCCGTCTTGGAGAAGTCAATGTCATGTGAGCCCACTGAATTATAACAGTGATCTGCCATGGCAGAGGAGTTCGTTCTATCGTGTTTCAAGTCTGCTTTATGTTCGCGGATGCGGTCCGAGATATGTCGTTTGGTTTCTCCAATGTAGCTACTACCACAGAGGCACTTTAGTTTGTAAATGCCCGGGTACTGTATGTCTGGAACAGCATCTTTTACAGATGAAACTAGATCACGGATTTTATGTACTCTGTTGAATCGGACCTGGATCTTGTGTTTATTCAGGATTTTGGAAATCTTTTTAGTGACCCCTGCAATGTAGGGTAAGGTGATGGTTTTGAGTGGCTCCACAAGAGGATCCTTTTTCATGACTGGAGTGATGGCTTTGCGGATTGTGTAGTCGGAGTAACCATTAGCCCTGAGAGCCTGGTGTACGTGCTTGAGTTCACTGGTAATGTGTTCCTGGTCGGAAATGCATTGGGCTCTATGGTATAGAGTCTTGATGAGGGAGTTCTTCTAGGAGGGATGGTGGTGGGAATCCGGTTTCAAGTAAGCATCTGTATGGGTAGCTTTCCTGTAGACAGAGTGGCTCATTGAACCATCATGTCTCCTTTTAATTAAGACATCCAAAAAGGGTAGTTTGCCATCTTTTTCGACCTCCATGGTAAATCTGATGGTTGGGTGTATGGAATTGATGTGGTCGCGGAATTGGTCTAGAGCAGGCTGGCCATGTGACCAGATGACAAAGGTGTCATCCACGTACCTCTTCCATAAGGTCGGGCGTAGAATGGCAGTCTGGATGGCGTCAGTTTCAAATTTTTCATGAATACGTTGGCTACAACCGGAGATAGGGGGGAGCCCGTTGGGGTGCCCTCAGTTTGTTTGTAGAAAGTTCCATTCCAGGTGAAGTATGTGTTGGTTAAGCAATGTCTCACCAGGGGGGGTACATCAGTATGCAGTTCTTGATGAACCAGGTCTTCAATGATAGCGATGGTGTCAGGTACCGGGACTTTGGTGAACAAGGACACCACATCAAAACTGACAAGCAGGTCGTCTGGGGACAGGGAAATGCCTTTGATTGTCGATACCAGGTGAGTAGAATTTAGTACCGCAGAGGTGGTTTTTCCAGTGAAAGGTCGCAGTATATCAGCAAGAAAATGTGCCAGTTTATAGGTGGGGGAGTTGATAGTAGAGACGATGGGACGAAGGGGTGTATCTTCTTTGTGTATCTTTGGAAGGCCATATAATCTTGGTGGTCTGGCAGCAGAGGGTTTCAACGAGAACTGTTTGGTCTCATCAATTAATGCTGTTGAATCAGAGATGATTTTGTTCGTTTTGGTAACCAGGCTGTTGGTGGGATCTCTTTTTATTTTTGTATAGCTGCCATCGTTGAGTAGTTCTTGAATTTTGTTGTTATATTCTGTTTTGTCCATGATGACAGTGGCATTGCCCTTGTCGGCTGAGAGGACGACTATATCATCTTTCTTTTTTAATTGAGATAATTCAAAACGTTCGTCTTTGCTGATGTTGCTGGGTGGCAACTTAGCGTTTTTGAGGGTTGCAGCGATTTCAGATCTTGCTACGTCTGCAGAGATGTGACTCAAGCCCTTGAGTGCAACGTCGACATGGGCAATGATATCATTAACCGGTAAGTGTCTCGGTGTGACAGCAAAGTTTAGACCTTTAGCTAAAACGGATTTCAGACCATCAGAAATGGAACTGTTACTGCGATTAATTACGACTTTGTTGACGTCTATCTTTTCGGTGTGTGGATCCGATTTTTTGTTGGAGAGGTGATTGAATTTGGAAATCAAATTGTCCCTACATTTGGTCGACATAGTGGCAGCCGAAGAGGTAGTCATATTGTCTACATGTTCCCAATCCGATGTAGACATTGTTGCTGTCAATGTTAAGTGTGATTTGTGTCGTTAAACTCGCCACCACCCGACACAGCCAACTAGTAAGGGTTGTTACGTAAACAGAACGTAGCCAATTCGTCACTAGTACAGCACTAACCGGTGTATTGGAGAGCCAAGCCGCAACATTTACAATCTGAGTACGACGTTTTGCCAGTAATTACAACCAGCTCCATGAGGCGACAGCCACATTTGTGGAGAAGTCCACCTGTGAGATGCAGTTTGCATGAATGACGATGCTACTTACACAAAACTTTATTCGTACAGCAAATCCTTTCCTCTCGCGGGTTTAGCTGTCGCAATTTTGCGGTTTCACGCCGAATCGCTTTGAGGTACAGTTTGCCGATCGCGTCCCTGTAGCTTGACCATTCCTGTACGTATTGTAGCTGTATTGCTCGCGATGATGTTGCCGTGGAAGAACACGTGCCGTCGTGTCCCCATCTTGTCTCTGAAGCGGGACCCAGGTCACGTGGCGTTCCCCGTCTCCAGCGAGGAGGCAGTGAGGTTCAGCCGCACATTTTTTCTTCCTGTGGGCTACACGAATACGTGTACACTAAATTAACTTTTTTCATTCTATACATTTACCTTGCAAGTTGTATTTAACACCCGAAAATATATTTTACATTCAAAATACTTCCTGTTTTGTGTTTGGGTTGATGTAGGGTAACATTTAATCAAAGGAGGAGGGGGGTGGTGGCGTATTCCGAACTGTGAACCAAACCCGAGTTTTCCCCTTTGCCTTTGAGTTTGCGGGTCGCGGATTTGCCGATTGCGACTACTTTCAAGAACGTAACCCCCGCGATGGGTAAGGGGTTGCTGTATTCGAACTGTTGATTGTAAGTTGATGCTTAATAGAGCATCTTGCGAGTTTTATTTACCTGCTACTAGCAGGTTATTTAATATGATTTATCTAACTTGTATGTATGTATAATTTACAGCCTTTATTTCTCTAACTTATACGTATAATTTACAGTCCTTTATCAATCCACTTCTGGCTGAAGGCCGTGTTGGTCATGTGGATTGACCATATTTACCACGTCGGTGGAAAAGGAAGCCTAGGACTGGTTCAGATATCACTTGCCGCTGATGTTCGCTGCGGTGGCCAGAAATCGAACTCAGGATTGGCAGGTCCATGGCACAGTGCGCTAAACATTTTGTCACTGCTACACCCAAGATCAAATAACTATTTAAAATTCTTGAATGTGACATATACAGGCAGTCCTCGTGTTGCGGAAGACCCGACTTACGGAAATCCGAATTTACGGAAATGCTTCCATAAATCGTGTAAAAAAAATGTTCAGCATGCGGAAATGTTTGCGTTTGTTACGAAAGCGCGAATGGTGCAGCACGGTGAGATTGCGGATGAATACCGCGGAGTGAGGTGTAAGGTGGCCCACCTGACACCTCACTCCACCACAATGCCGCCTTCACTAAGCCCGAGCTTCACTAGGATTAAGGTAAATGGAATTTTTCGTAGCGTTGTCATTTTCATTCTGTATGACACTGAGAGAAAACGAACTAGTGATTGGGTAGGGGAGGCACAACTATTTCCTGCTATGGGATTTTATCTTCATTTTGGGGGAAAATGTTTCAGTTTCTGACATACGGAAAATTCGGGTTATGGATCATTCTGGGGACTGCCTGTACAGAATAATGTGGCTTAATGCTCCTTAGATTTTAGAGTGAAAGCCCATTTAAGATGTCAAATCATACGCCTCTGATTAGCACGGTTGGCTACGTACGGTGCGAAACAAGTTCAACACACATACATCTGACTATATTCAGTTTTGGCAAATATCAACGTGATATTATTTGTCAATTATAACCTTTTTCTTACAATCTGGTTGTGATAATATTCGCTGCTGTGATACGGGCACGAAGTGGGAATACTCTGCTGCGTGCCACACCGCAGGCTGTGTTCACAAACACTTTGTAGATGACTCTGCATTTTGATAATTCGTTCCATGCATTACTGGACAGCTGCAGGAATTTAACCTTGGACGTCAATGCAAACTGACTCGGTGGGGAAGCACACTGGCATCAGAGTGCTATTGAGAAACTAATTTAACAAACATGCCAAAACTCAGTGTCTCCGTGTGCACAAACGAGCGATGGTCAGTGCCAAATGCGCAGAATTTATAATGCGCACAGTTCTCATTTAGCAACCCCCCTCCTCCCATTCTGGTTCCCCCCCTCCGTAGTGAGAGAGAGAATTATTCGGAGGCATGGCAAACCACAGACGCATGAGAGAGCAGTCAGAATCTGCGCCAATGATCTTCCAAGCTCTGTGGTCCTATATTGGAATGCTTGGTTAGCTCATCTCAGTTGGGAGTCCCAGAGTCGGTTGATTGCATATTGCGTTCCATCGAGAGACGTGTATTAAGTCCGACACATTATGGTGACCGTCAAGAAAAGTAGGGCGGGTTTGGGCAGAACACTTCAATAGCAGGGATAATGGTCGATGGTCGAGACCAATGAAAGAGTGGCAGCCAAAGAATCAGACTCAGAATATTTATCCTGGAGGAATCTGATGAGGTATAAAGCTCTTTTTCCCAGATGTTCAGTAGGAGGGAACATGCTCTTAACCACGGAGATGGAGCAATACAATTAGCTATATGGATTGTTCCATTGCACGACTGCGAAAAATGGTGACAGATTGAGGCCTTCATCTGGCAGTGAATTGATCATGGCTGATAATGACAGTGATGATTTTTTTGTGTTTAGTTTGCTGTCCTTCTGCACCTCTGATTAGCATCATGGTTGGTTATGTACGATGCGAAAGAAGTTCAACATACATCATGGTGGCAGCCTCTTCACAAGAAAACCACTGTTAACTCGTCACAAAGTGGTACCCAATACATCAGTCCCACGAGAGTGATGAGCTGAGTCAACCCCTTGATTTAAAATCCAATCATGATTTGAGCTGTCTGCTCTAACAGGGCTATTATACTACCATATTGAATATAGGTGCAAGTGTAATAGCTAATTTATGACCAAGACAATATGTCACGCAGGTGTAATATCGATTAATCTCACGCTACAAGCACAGTACTTTGACAGATAAGCGCTGTAACAAACGCAGAAGCGGTGTTGTCGGAGAAAGGTCGTTTTGAAAGCGCTTAGTGGAAACGGAATGTTTGACGAGTTAAGCCGCATGGCGGCAGTGTAAATAAATACGCGGCAGTGACACAGCCCCTCTCAGTGGTTTGGGGTGTAACTCAATCCTACGGCTCTCCGCTGCCCTCTCGGGTCGTGACGCGTTTTGTTCGGCATGTTGTCCGACGTTTCGCTCCACGTGCTTGGGAGAAAAATGCCTCGACTCCCTCCCCCCCGCCCCCGGGTTCCTGACGATGTTTGCCGGCATGCAAAGCGAAACGCCCGGGCATCGCGGCCGGGCCCAAAGATAGCGCGGCAGTACGACCCCGCAAATACGGCGGAGAGCTGGACAGCAGCGCGTCCGTGAAAATCCACACAGTGGCACGTAACTCTGTAACTCAATCCTCCTTCTGTCCCCCCCCCCCACCCCCCGTGCCATCTCCTTCCCACCCCCTTTTTCCAGTGGAGGATGGGGCACGTGGAAGCCCATGTGGATGTGTGGCCAGGGTCTGAGTGGCAGCACTGTGGGTGTGGTGGGGCTGGGCCGCATTGGTAAGCCTTTCGTTTCCCCCCCCCCCACCCCCGTGCCCTTTCCCCCGTGCCCTGCCGTTTATTGGGTCCAGATGAAGGTTGTAATTTGGCCCCAAATCCACGCGTGGTGGCACTCACCTTTGACCTGCATTGGGGTTTGGGTGGAGGGGGGGTTGGTGGATTAGGAGGGTAGTTCAGGTCATCGCTGTTACATGTGAGGCACCCACCTGCTGTGTTAGGAGGGGAGCCTCGCTGATTCCAGCACAGGAAGTAGGTTGTATATGCATGTTGAACTTATTTTGCACCGTCCGTAACCAACCATGCTAATCGGAGGTGCGGAGGAAGGACAACGAACTAAAACTGTCTGGATTTTTTGGTGTCATCACCTCAGCCCATATTCCAAAAGTGAGGGTTACTTTTATTGGAGGTCAACAGCAGTTTGGGAATATTTGCCCCCAGCATAGAACGGTAGATTTTTCTCTGCAGACACAAGGTTGTAAAGATCGATAAACAGTCTATATACTTGCACTTTTTTTTCTCAAGGACAGTGCCAATATTATTATCAGAGTTGTCTCTTTTGTCTGCATTTTGACTGCTTGTGTTGTGGTTATTGCAAACATGATGCCTTGAATAAAGGTGTCAGTTTTTGTGCCAGTTAAAAGGGTAAAACCTATTACTATACTTGCACTTCTTAATTAAGCCGATTACTTGTATCAATTGCATTCCATTAAATGTATTTCTATGCGCAACGCTGGCTGTTGACCCTCGAAAGCTCGGATTGAACGAGGCTCGGATTAAAGCCACAAACGGAGCGGCATCGGTCGGCATTTGTTGCCTTGTGCGTCGTCGTGAACATCGTAACCCCCCTCCCGTGTCTCCCATATCCTTCCCCCCCCCCCACCGCGTCGTCTCAGGGATGGCGGTGTGCGAGCGTCTCAAGCCGTTCGGCGTGCGGCGAGTGCTGTACACGGGACGTAACCCAAAGCCGGACGCGGAGCGGAGGCTGGACGCTCAGTTCTGTGAGGATCAAACATTCATTTCCGGATTTCATTTGTAGTACGTCGCAGCCGGGCACAATTTCAAAGTGGCCCAGCTAGCCGCAAAGCCACAGACATCGAAGCAGAAGTTGGGACTGCTACCACGCACGTAGTAGTGCCGTAATGGCGAGATGTGAACTACTTTGCCCCGTACTCAGGAGGTCGTGGGTTCGATCTCAACTCTTGACGCCTGCTGTATATTTGGAGTTTGCGTGTCTCTCTCTCCATGGTCGTGTGGACTTTTCTCCAGGTCCTCCGGTTTTCCCCTCCACATTTAGAAACATGCGTTTAGGGTATTTGGCTGCTATAAATTTCCACATGATAAGCCACTTCGTTCAGCTATAATTTGTGGCCAGGTTGCGTCTGAAAAATAACTATGTAGCTCAGTGGGCCTTACCCGGTAACAAAAAATCGCGGTTGTGCTGTGTAACCCTCCGATGGGTTTTTGGGTCATACCGTATAAATTCAGTTTGTAAAGAAGCTCCAGGCATGTGAAGTAAAATCGTCAGACGTCGCGCGCAACAATGCAAAAATACAATTGCCCCAGCATATGGACATACATCATCACGTTCAGATACCACTCACCTGAGAGACCACACAGCACATCAGTTTATTCACAGTGCCGAAGCATTCGCAGGGAAGCGACATTGCGTCGCGACGGCGTTTGCAGGAGATCCGTCGTACCCTGCGAGAGCTGAGTGCAGGGCTGTGTGGCACCAAGCGGAGTAAAATCCTGGCAACTTTCTCCACCGCCTGTGGCGGAGCGGAACAGTGGCATGCGCAATTGTGTGACTCTGCGTCCTGCCAAGAGATTTCCTGTGGAAGCGGGCCGAAGACGGAATGGAGCAATTTTTGCAGCCGTGCGAAATGAGAAGAGCCTAATGAGCTTCATTGCTTCGCGGTTAGAAGAGCATCTGCCTGGCTTTCTCAAGGCGGATGTGGGTTCTTATTCCCGGGCCAAGAGCTTAACATAATGAATCGCCAACTGTCGCCGAGTTCCACTACAAAGGTAAAAAGTTAGACGTTTTTCTTAATAAACAATCGAGTGGTGTACTGGCCATCTGGGAAGCAAGTTAACGTGAAGCTGCACTAATATTAAGCTGGCTGGGATGGCGCGGTCAGAGTGTTTGACGAACGAGTGGAAAAGATGCAAGTTCAAATCCCGGTCAAGGATCGACTCGGGCCATCATTATTATTATTATATGTGGATCATTTACAGTTAGTGAGAAGTGGAATTTTCGACAGTGGCTCAAGGCAGCCAATGGGAGATGAGCACTGTCCTGTTGCTCATTTGTTCAGAGCCATACTGATTTATTTCCAAGTGCACACACGGAAATGCCTGCAAACTGCAGAAGTGGCTCGTGCTTAAATGCAAACGAACATAAGTACAATCCAGACATGTTAAGTTACATCTTAAAACATACATTTCAACAATCTCAGTTTCCTACTGTGCTTCCACTCTTTAAAAGGTTGTGCTTAATTATGAATCTCCGAGCTGTATTGCGGGTCATCTGATCCACAAGGAATGTGCGTTTGGCTCGATGTGCGATGGCTAATTGATTTAATGACCGGCTACAGTTCAGGCCAATTAAGATGACGCCAAGGAGGGTGGGGGGGGGGGGGGGGACCTTGCTTCACTCAACGCACCGGTCTGACCTTTAATCACGGGGCAGGAGAAAGACAGGTAGCTTTTGCCTAATGGCACGGCAACTGACGCCACAACCCCAAAATAGGCTTAATTATTTCCTTTGAATATGCACCCTTCCGGTTGAGATCCTTCCCCCCCCCACTCTTTGAGAGCTGCAATGCGACCGCCCGAATATTACTCGGCATGCTCCGTTTTTTTTTTCTTTCGGGGGGTTGGAAACTGATTAAGCTGGGGTCAGTTCAATCTCCACGTGCAGGAAATGTTTTGAGAGTTTGCAACGTTGGCGAACACGCCAGCTGCATTTTCATTCGCAGTCCTGTTTCCCCGATACCTACTGCTGTGTTTGTTGTGCACGGATACATTCGGGTTTAACATCGGAGCTTTCAATAGCACCGCTACTTGACCGGTGTTCCCGATTTGTAGTTCGTGCTGCCTATCCTCTTTTGCATCTCAAAGTCAGTGTCTCGATATTCCGATGAGCATGAAGGCTTCTACTCATTTTCCATGGAGGCCCTTAGCCAGTGATGTAAAATCCACATGCCCCTGGTTGGATGCTAGTCCCTCCATAATGTGACCACTGTTAACTTTCCCCAAGGTGGTTTATAATTTTCTTGAACCCCAGAGCAGTAAACGGGGAAGAAGCGGCGGTGCAGTGGTTTGTGCGCTACGATATGACTCCAGCGTCCCGAGTTCGATTCCCGCTCACGGCAACACCAATGACGAGTGATCGCTTCACCAATCTTGGGCCGCCCCTTCCAACATCTGCAGTGATCGATGCTGCATGTGGAGGCCTTCACCCGATCTTGGAAAGCCACTGGAGCTATGCACTTTTAAATCTCGATTGAAAACCCATTTCAAACTGATTTTTGTATTTAGTTTGTTGTCCTTCCCCCGCACCTCGAATTAGCACGATTGGTTACGTATGGTGCAAAAGAAGTTCAACTAGCATACATCCAGCAGTGGTTTGACAAATGTAAATTCTTATCACGCTATAAAATGGTCATAGGCCGACACGTCATCAAAATGTGCGCTCGCATTGCTTGTACCACAGCATCTCCGCCCTGCTGTATGATTTTAGTTTGTGTCCGACGCGGGCCTTGATTATTTTCCTTTTTGCCCGGACGTGCCGACGTGACGCTCCCCACCGCCGCCGCTGCCGCCACGCGCAGTGCCGCTGCAGGGGCTGCTGCGGGAGGCCGACTTCGTGGTGGTGAGCTGTGCGCTCACGGACGCCACTCGGGGGCTCTTTGGCCGCGAAGCGTTCGCCCGCATGAAACGCTCCGCCGTGTTCATCAACGTCAGCCGGTAACTTCCTCCGCTGCCTCCTGATGAACCTTCGAGCCGCCAGTTTTCGGCAGGCTTTTCGACCGCGGCTGGAAGCGTTCGCGGGCATCCTGTCCTTCGTTGTAACAGGCGGGCACGATGACGCTCGTAACGACGTATGCATGTACGTTGGATTTCGTTCGCGCCGTACGTAGCCAACCGTGCGTGCCAATTTGTATTGGAGCGGTGATCCGCTAAGCACGAAATCTGAGTGCAAAGTCGCGTTGCCATTAGGCGCCTGCCCGCAAAAAGAAACCTGCCAAATTGAGCTGTGTCGCCCAAAAACATGACAATGAACGCCGGCGCTAAAAAGGAGCCGCAAATCGAGTGCCGAAAGGAAAGGCATCACGTGACGTGTGACGTCATCTCGCCGCGTCGTGCGCGGTTTGACGGCTCATTGTGTGAATATTTTTGAGGACAAACACGAAAACATTACAGAAACCGTGCATGTGCAAGCCATTCCCTATTGTAACAGTTTTTACCACACACTTATTGCAAGAGGGGAGGATCTCTTTGACGTTAAATGGTCTTTCACATTCTGTCGCTATGCAGCCAAAAATGTACTTTGCTAATTCCCCGCACAAGTTTTGAGGCAGTTGTGGCAATTGAGTTATTTGCTTTGTGATTCAACGGTGAATATTCTTACTGCGGTTCTTTGCAGTGGTCCACGTGCTTTCGAGTTTTTTTTTCCCCCCCCATATTCAAACAAATTTTTTATGGCCGCTGATTGGGTTAGACCGCATAAATATATAAATGTGTAATTAAACCCACCACTACCCGACACAGCCAACTAGTAAGGTTTGTCACATAAACAGAACGTGCCAATCTGGTACAAGTACAGCACACCGTTGTATTGGAGAGCAGAGTCACAACATTTACAATACAGTACGACATCTAACCAAAAAAAACTTTAATATGGATGATATTGGTCGCGAAAGCCTACTTGTAATACTGGCTCCTTATTCATTACATAGTTTCTCCATTAGACACAACAACAAACACCAAAGCGTCTCTCTGCCCAAACAACCATAGGGCAATTCTCATCTCCTGTTTGCAATGCTGAACCAGTGGTGTAAATTCCTCATTCCTGTGGTTGGAGGCAGCAAGTATCCGTTAAGGCAACCGCTGTTAATGCCCATTACTAAGTGGTACTTTTTTTGTTGTGGCCGTGGATGGATGATGATGGAGTCGACCACAGACCGGGATTTGAACTTGCAGTCAAGTACTTTTACCACAGCGCCACCCGGTCAGGCTTAAACACGAGTGAGTGTTATGCAATAGATACAGAGGCCACTTTCAAAATCTCTATTGATGTCATTGTTTTAACTGTGCATATTACACCGCGGGATCGTGAGAGATGGCCAAGACTTGCGGAGCCCTTCATCCAGCATTGGATTGATCATGCTGATGATGATCGTGCACATACAATTTGCACCATTAAAGGCATCCTCCCCTGCGTTTTTCTTTCTAATTAACTTAGCCCTTTAAAAAAAAAATCGCTGAGGAATTTTTATATTTCCAACACGTGTGCTAGGTTTTTTTCCCACTCTGGCTCCCGCGGAAAAGTTTTTTTTTGTTTTCGTTCTTCTGCCCCAGGGGCCTCATCGTGAACCAAGATGACCTCTACGATGCCCTGACGTCGGGGGAGATCGCGGCGGCCGGGCTGGACGTAACCACTCCGGAGCCCCTGCCCACCGACCACCCTCTTCTCAGCCTCAGCAACTGTGGTAACGACGCTCCACCTGTCCACTATAACGGCCATAGCCTAAACATTACATATATATTATTGTTTTAAATTTTAGGGCCACCGTGTATTTTTTTCCTATGCTGTGGTCACATCTCTCTTGATTAATATTGTAATAATATTCTGGAAGGGCTAGACTTCTTGACTATTGGACTATGGCCTGCTCTGGGTGAAGCAGTGGTTAGCACGCTGCACAATGAAACCCACTGCTCTCCGAGGTTGAATCCCAGCCACGTCTAACATCAGTGGTGAGTAATGTCTCCACCGGTCCTGAGCCTCTGCCCCTCCATCAAACCGCACTGTGACCAGCGTGGTGAAGTATGGTCAAACAGCGACCAGGACTGACACAGCGTGCGGGAGGGCTTCTTCATCCAGCATTAGAATTGCAAGGGCTGTTAAGTTTTATCTCAGAAAATGCATGACCCGAGCAGGATTAGCTCAGTGGTTTATGTTATATATTTATTTGTTTCCACTCGTTTACCTAGGAAGGCCTCAATGAGTCTCTGGAATTTTTTTTCAGCCGTGCCCTGCCCAGCGCACCCCCCCCCCCCCCCCCCCCCCCCCCACCTTAGCTGCCCAGTGAACTCTTTAATTCCCAAGTAATTTTTCCGAGTATCTGGCCAGGTGGCACTGGCAATAGTACCCGACTCAGCAACGGGGTTGTAAGTTCCAGATCCCGATTGGCAGTCCGTAGCGCCTCATCCATCTGGAGCCTCCCCTGCCTACTTCTCACCCCTCTCATCTCTGCTTTTTGTGTTTAGTTTATTACCCTTCCCCCCGCACCTCCGATTAGCACGGTCTGGCTACGTACTGTTTCGAAAGAAGTTAAACATACTTACATCCATCTCGCCTTACTCTGTCCACTTTCCCGCTCGAGCAGCCGTCGCTTGCTGTCGGAACCCCGCCCTGGTGACGCTTCGCTCAGAGGAAGGTCGCTCAATCTCCTGCACTGTCGCCATTACTGGGACTCCCCTCACCCCGCCATCCGTGCTGTCAACACCTTGCCCCTGTTCCAGTCGAGCCTCAAGATCCCTTCCTTTTTTTACTCTTCCCAAGACGGACCGCCTCCATCTGTAAACTGACTATGCCCAATGTTTCTGTATTTGCTTCTCGGGGTGCGGTCGCGCTTGGGCACTGTATAAATCAAAAGGTATTGTATCGTGGTGTAAAGGGAGCACCGCTGAGGGACGTGAAATTGGTCAGTGCAGCCATGGAGACACTTTAAACATTTGATTGGTCATCAATGTATCTGGCCAAGTAGTGTTGCAGCAGGATGCTTTGCTCAAAGTGGGAAGAAGGTTGCAAGGTTCAAATCCCAGTCATGCATTGGTTCAACTTTGGTGGGTAAAATTGAATGATGTGACAAAGTCGATGCTCTTATATCTGCAAGTGGCCTCCGCTAAAGTAATGTGGAATTTCCACCGCTGGCTCAGGGCTGCCAATGGAGATGAGCGCCGCACAAACACTCATCTGAGAACGCGGAGACACATTGAGGTTTGACTTGCGCTTAGGGCACTCACAGTTAAATGTTTTTTTACTATATTGAGTACAAAATGAACTCTCCAGGGGATTGCCAGACGAGTGTAGTGATGGGCGCATCCCGTACTTGCGTGCGTGCGTACGCGCGCACGCGCGTAGCCACCCACGCGTAGCCACCCACTACCCAATAGGGAGGTATTCATGACCCCAAATTTGGCCATGGGTCCCACCCATAATATCTCCCCGAGGTACAGCCCACTCTTCGTGAGACAGAATGTCCCTGGCATTACCCCAGTGCCAACACGAGCCTCATATTTTTTTGCCCCTTCTTTATAAATGCTGGCTACACCGCCGCGGCGCTCATCACTAATTGGAGAGCGAGGCAGTTTTGGTCCGAGCATTGAGAAAATAAACAGAGCGTCGAATGTCGATAATAACAACGCTTGCTTGTGTGTGTACACGCACACGCTCAAGCACACACTGGCGTGGCGACGGCCGCACTGTGCGATGAACCAGGTGACTTGAGGTCGATTTATGGCCATGGCTAGCATCAGTGGCGGGTGATGTCTGAACTGGTCCTGCATCTCCCCCGGGAGCCTCCTTTGCTTATTTACCCACCAGCACTGACGAGCATGGGAAAAGTGTGGTCAGACAACCCCCGTTACTGACGTAGAGGATGCCCTTCATTCAGCAATGGATTAACGAAGGGCTATAAATGATCATAGCTAGTATTCTTTAAACGTAACTTAAACCCGAATTTTCCATAGCCTAGAAATGCCACAGTGTGGTCGACTGGGTCATGTGGGAGCCGCCATTATGTGTGCTGATCCCGATTTGAACTCTGACCCCTGTAGTGCCCTAATCCCGATTTGAAACTCTGACTCCTGCAGTGATCATGCCGCACATTGGGAGCGCCGCGATCGACACGCGGAGCAAGATGGCCGTGATGACTGCCGAGAACCTTCTGGCCGGACTCAGGGGAGAGCCGATGCACGCCGAGCTCAAGCTGCCGCTCTAGCGGCGTCGTCGCCGCCGCCGCCGCCGCCCGCACGCGGTGACAGCATTCGGGCTTGGCGCTGCTATCTGAGCAGATGCCCGAATCGGTTTAGTGACTGCTGCGTCCACAAATAACCCGATTGTTTGTCCCCGCTAATTGCTGCTTTTGTCATTGCTCCTCTCGGTGTGGCGCTTGGTGCCCAGCGATTGGCGATGGTCATGCTGCATGGTCAGAGAGGAGGACTTTAACAAAGCAACTCCACAGGGAATTTCTGGCTTTTTGAATATATGTGAATACGGAAGAAATGGGAATCTCTTAGTATAACAGGATCATCAACTTATGCACTTCGAATAACCCGTGCCAAGTAAGCATTTTGCATGCTCTGAATATTTCTCATCGCCCTTGCCAAAAATGTTCCATCATAATTTCCTTGCTGATGACTCTCAACTGGATGTCTCCATGGTCTACACAAACCCAACCTCACTGTCCACTCTCGCATTCTATCATGACGTGGTCTCATCTCGGATCGGTTCTATAACTTCCTGCAGATTAATTTTACCAAAAACTCATCTACTCATCATCATCATCAGAATCTGAATATGTGTTTATACTGGAGGAATCCAATGAGCTATAAGGCTCTTGTTCACAGATATCCAGTAGGGGCAGGTCAGAACGTTACAACAAACAATACAAAAACACGATGGTGCAAAATATAGGGAAAGGTAAATAAATAACTTTAAAAAAATGCAAATAAAACTATAAACTATCTTTTATCTTGCTAGGTAAAGCCCACCGAGCTATATAGCTCTTTTCAGAAGCAACCTGGCCACAAATGATAGCGCAACGAAGTGGCTTATCATGTGGACATTTACAGTAGCAACATTCTTTATATTGCCACTGCCAAAATTCTTACCCACACCTGTAAATGAGACAAATAGCATCGATACTCCAATCTCTCCAGTGGCTGCCAATGTAAACCCGATTTCATTTCAGTATCACCGTATTCATGATCCTCCACGGACTCACCACTGCCTACTTCTCTCACTCGACTCATCCCCATGCAATTTCTTACCTCCTCACATCTCACTCTTTTCCCATCACATGCTCTCCCACCTCTCCTTCTCAACCTTGTAATCATGAGCCGTGCGATGAACTGATTCAGCTATTGGGACTGTAGCAATACACGGGGTCTATTGTAGGAATTTCAGTCGCACACCATGTGGGGGAAAGGCAGTGAGGGCACCAGAAGAGAGAAGAGAGGGAGCAATTGACCTCTTTGTGGAAGCTTTGTAAAGGTTACATTAATCCCCCGCTGTAAGTGGCCACGTGATGCGTTGTTTCACGTGTATGTTGTCAATTAGGGAACGCATCGCCCTATGAGTGTTAACGTTTAGCGTGTGCGTTCTTTTTTTCAAAAGAATTGGGCAACATTTTTCATGCTTTTTTTTCCTTGTCAACAAGGAGCGAATTGCGGGCGAAAACGGGACTGATTTACGATGTAATGGCTCTACCGTACTGTACACGCGCAGTGACGACCACCGAACTTTCCTCCGGGCCCGTGATCGGCTTCCGTCTACCAGCCCCGCCGTTTCGCGTGACCGCTGCGCACGTGCGAGGTAGAAATACTTGCGTAGCGTTAGGTCAGGGGGGCGGCAACCAAGATAACATCGTTTTTTTGGCGATGCAACGTGAATACGAGACGGTGGGTCCCTTAAATAAATGACGGCGCGGAGCAGCAGTCCTTAAAGAGCCACCGCACGCGGCGCTGAAGCAGCCGACCCCTGCGCGAGTTGATAGTCTTAAAATAAGTGCAAAAGGCTTGGAAAGTACATTGAAAAATGCACAGTAAATGATGATAGTGTCTCTGGCAAGAGAAGGCGAAGGAAAATTATTAATCTAGAGGTTAAATTAGAAGCTTCAAAGCGTTTTAAAGCAGGTGAAAAGGCAGTCGATATTCCCAGAATGCATGGCCTTCGTCTGTATAATAATTACACTCTCCATTCCAAGAGACCTCGATCAGCAAACTCTTCAATCATCTCTGGTAAATTGTATCGAATTATACGTATCGATTATTGGCCAAAATGAATGCAGCCCCTTTTTGTTAACAAGTCTGTGGGAAATGAGAGTTTGCTGCAAGTAATTTCGAGTTTAGAGAGCATTTCTTAGGAACCGCATCCCTGACGTATAGCGGGGGATTCCTGTACAGGGACTCCTCTACTTACGAACAGCTTAGGTTCCAGAGGTCTGTTCGTAAGTCGATTTGTTCGTAAGTCGATTCCAAACACGTGTACACTAAACACGGGGAATGGCTTTAAAAGTTGTATAATCTAGTGTAGATGTAGAAGCCACTGGTTCGTCATGTTCTGCAGATGTTGATGCCACTGCTTCTTCATGTTCTGCAGATGTTGATGCCACTGGTTCTTCACGTTCTACAGATGTAGATGCCACTGGTTCTTCACGTTCTGCAGATGTAAATGCCACTGGTTCTTCACGTTCTGCAGATGTAGATGCCACTGGTTCTTCACGTTCTGCAGATGTAGATGCCACCACCGCCATCTATTGCGAGGCGGTTGAACTTACGACTCTCAGTCCAACAGGCAACTGGACATACAGACAGGTTTGTTCGTATCTCTGAAAGTTCGTAAGTCGAATGTTCGTAAGTAGAGGAGTCCCTGAACTTGCACTGCCCGTATATTTTCATGGAATGCACTCCCGGGGTGGCGGGTGATAGAGGGGAGCATGACATCAGAGTGCGTGAACCCGGCTTCTGTGCTGTGAGATGTGGTGAATGTCACGGTGCAGATGAGCGGGGTGGTGACGTGACCACCGCACGAGTTGCGTGGCTACTCGGCGTCAAGCGTGATGACGTCACCATTCAGCCCAATCATGTGACATCACCGTGGTGAAGTCATAGGCTTGGCTCAAAGGACGATGACGTCGTGCCTAAACGTCAGGGGCGCGGTCAGTGGGCAGAGTGCTCCGGAGGGCATTACTCTTGAACGTTCTGGTTAGCAGGCCAGAGCGCATTGCCATAGCAAGGAAGATCACGGTCTGAGGAGCTGCCTCGGGTTGAGCGTTTTAGTGGACGTGTCAAAATACAGCCAACCGGAGGCGCCACACGTGACTATGAACTCTCTATGGACACAACGCACACACTCATTGGCTGAGCACCACCCGTGCAAGTTACTCCGTGTTCCAACGTACCATTCAATAAGAGCGAACAGCCGCCTTAGAGCACCATGGAATTGATAGCGCTCTATGCATTGAATACATCCCGGCTTTAAATATAAATCAATGGGGGAACCGATTTTAACCGGTAGACTTTTGCAATGAATTGCGATCCACTCCACTCTTCTGGAGTATTTCAGATGCCATTGGTTTATGTTGGAATGAATTTTTCAAAAATTTGGGTGCCAAATGTTTTCAATTAGGAAAGACAGCAATTTTCCGTGAATATCCTCAGCAAGAGAAGCATTTTTGGCTTGATGCGTGATTTTCTCTGACGAACCGTTTTGGAGATACAGAGCATGACGGATGGACGGACAATTTATATTTAGAGATGCCAGACGATAACACAAATATTCCTAGATTAGGTGCAGAATATTGTGTTGCCCCATGTCACTATAAACAACTTTTAAATCGGTATCGCTTTACTAAATGATTGATTTTGTTCATGCAATGTTACAGCATTCATTTCAGATGTGATGATTAATAAGGCAATAAAATACTACAGTCATGTGCAATTGCTGTGATGTTTTACGTACAAAAATCTGATCAGAAATATATCTGCATTTCATCTGAATTTCATCTCAACTATCACAGTTGTTTGGATTCATGTTTTTCATTTAGTCTGTCTACAGACTCCCCAGCCGAGTCTGCCAGTCTGTTGTCTGAGAGAAGTAAAACATCCCATCAGAGACTTGTCTTTGAATCTGGACTGTCTTGTAATTATATATACCACAGTCCCCTGATGTGCAAAGCCAGAGCTGAAACTCGGGTCGCAAGCCACTCTACTGCTGCCAAAGACACAAAGACAAACACGTGGTATGCATTTATTCAAATACATACATGGGGTGGGGTGGGGGGCATTTTGATTTTTTTTGTTTACGAGTCAATGTTCACGGGTTTGTTTCTGTGCCCACTTTGCTGCGATGCAATGAGTGGCGGTTCTGGGAAATAACCGCATATCGTTAGAGCAAGACCGCAGCCGAATTGGAATCGAATGGACCCGAAACGTGGTTTACTGGACAGCGCGCTAGCCTCAGGCCACAAGGCTTTTTTTTTCCCCCCAGGTCAGCAGTTCCATTCCCGCTACAGCCACTTTGGTTTATGGAAGGAATTACGAAAGCCTGGAGTTAATTTTACAGTGGATGTTATCGCCCCTATAATAATGATGATTATCATCAGCTACGATGAATCAACTGCTGGATTAATGAATGCCTCACTAAGCCATCACTATCTTTTCACGGTACTGGAAAGTAACAATCCACTGCACCTGTGGTGGATGTCCAGTCGGGTGCCTTCCCTCCCTTGGCGGCCAACCTTGCCATGTTTTCACCTACTGGTCATGCCAATAACGAAAACAAATATATAGAGCTGCACACTATCCAGGGAAGCCTCAAGTATTTTTTCACAAGAATCCAGCATTGGTATGAGGGGTGTATTGGTGCATCGATGGCATCCATTTATTCACGCCATCAATTATTCAGCTCACAATGCATGCACAAAAGATGCGTGTAAAAATCAATGCCCTGCGATTGGTACGTCAAAAATGTTTAAAAACAATCGCCGTTAATTTCAAGTTTTAACTCCAAAGTGACATTGCACAAATCTGCATTGCCGTTCAATCTCCAAAGTTCTAGTCACAGTCGAGGGTCAACTCAGACCATCCCTTTCAGCGTCAATAAAATGACTTACCGCTTTGTCGCAAATCAACAATGGTCATCCTATTGGTGAGACTGGCCTCCGCCATATGAACGTGGAATTGCCACCACCGGCTCAGGACTGGCCAACTAAAGTGAGCTCTCTCATTGCTCGTTTGAGCAGGAAATTGATGAACTCAATTGGTGCTCGTGGCCACCAGAGCTGGGTTAAGGCAAACGTTTATTTTGTGCGGCCAGTGCCGGATTATCCTTGTAGCATGAGGATCTGCACATGTAGTAGTAGCTACACATGTAGTAGTAGCTGCACATGTAGTAGCTGCACAAGTAGTAGCTGCACATGTAGTAGTAGCTGCACATGTAGTAGTAGCTGCACATGTAGTAGTAGTAGCTGCACATGTAGTAGTAGTAGCTACACAAGTAGTAGCTACACATGTAGTAGTAGCTACACATGTAGTAGTAGCTACACATGTAGTAGTAGCTGCACATATAGTAGCTGCACAAGTAGTAGCTGCACATGTAGTAGCTACACAAGTGTATGCTACATATGTAGTAGTAGCTACACAAGTAGTAGCTGCACATGTAGTAGCTACACATGTAGTAGTAGCTACACAGGTAGTAGTAGCTGCACATGTAGAAGCTACACATGTAGTAGCTTCTACATATGTAGTAGTAGCTGTAGTTGCTACACATGTAGCAGCTACGACATATGCAGGAGCTACACATGCTATGGGCCCCGCACTTTCAAGGGCCCGGCGCTAAACGCTTTCAAGCTATGAATTCCGGTTCAGTGATTCTGCACTTGCTCTATTACTA